GGTGAAATATTAAAGAAAAAAATCTATTGATGGGGCTGGAATACTGTGGGTGGTATAATGGTGCGTCTTGAAGACTTTAGTCATTGCCCATAGAAAACTGCCATCATCCTTGTTAGTAGCAGCAGCATTATTGCGAAATACTCATTCGTATGTTACGTTTCCTTTCTACTGACTTACCTGTAGGAATATTTTAATGATACATCAGTCATGGATCAGTAGGTTTGGGGAGGGGAGCATACACAGACAGCAATGTGATCTCATAATCCTGTTTTAAAGGAAAAAAGCTGTGACACAAGCTGATAAAATATTCTTGGGCTATCAGCCATGTCTGATGATAGGGAGAGAGTTGTCTGTGTGACATCGGTGATACTTAACCAACTGACACGGCTGAAAGCCAGAGCAGATTTCATCCACTGCAGCTGCCATAGAAGCTTCATATCTTGTGTTTAACGTGAGGTTTACACTGTAGATAAAAGGTAAAGCAGGGTAATTTTATTTCAGATGTACACAGTATTTGTTACATGCCACAGGAAATTGAAAATGTGACTAGCCATACATGAATAGAAAGCTTACAGCATTCTTTTTCTGAACTGTTATAAAAAAACTGGCACTTTTGATATATCACCGTTAGAGATAGAAGTTATGGCTGCCATAGGAAACTCTGTGTTCCAAGTAGTGATGTGATACAATGGCAAGTGTGCTCTGTATGCAGGACACCACTGGAGGTTAAGCAACAAATATTTAAATATGGATTCCAATTAACATTATGAAATTTCCAACTTCACAATGTGGGATATTTAATTGGGACGTGTATCTGTCTTCTCCTGGTGACAGAGCTTGTACAAGGGCATGCTGAAAGTAATAACTCCTGATTTCTTTTCCATAACAGCAATTTCATTGAAACAGAAATGGCTACCTTCCTTGAACTTTGTTCCTTATTTTATACAATTACTTCTCAAACGACTTCTGCAATCCAGCCACAGCTGACATATTTCATGCATATTCATCAATTAATGCATTAGTTGTATTCCCAAAAGGAATCACAGGGGGTGCAATGACATAAATGATATCAGGTAGGCCAAACTTTCTCTTCTCCCCTTGCATTCCTCCTCCACACTTGCACAGTATCCTAATTCCCCCTTCTTCTGACCTCTCTTGATGGGCCAGAATTAGTTCATACTAAAGCAAGTGTTAATAGGTCTAAATTAATTGATTGCATTAAAATGAAACAACATGTTTCCAACTTGCATATACCAAGGAGTACCTGTACTTCTGTAAGTGTGGCATAACAAAACTACATTTTCGCCACTGTCTTATGGAGGCATTACTTTCAAGCATACCCTTCCAGGATGAATGTTGCTAATACCAAAGCCCACCAGTGGACACATCATGATCCACAGTCTTATACCCAGCTTTGTCAAGATCTGGTTTGATATCTTCCTTCCACCTCTCTTGCTTTGCCAAGTGGATGCTTTCCAGGATGTTCCAACAAAATATTCTACGTATGTGTTCAATTCTTTATTGGAGTCCGTCGTAACACAACAACATAACGGTCAAGGTTAAAATTACCCAGCTACATGTTTTGGCATTTTAAAGCCATCATCAGGCAAAACAGATGATTACAGACACAATTAGTAACCATGTGCTCTAAAAAACTGAAACATGTAGCTGGGTAATTTTATCCTTGACCATTATGTTATGTTATGTTACGACGGACTCCAATAAAAAATTGTATATAATAACATAACAGGATGCACGAAAGGAAAAGTATTTGTGTTCTCCCATCTCAGCTACAAGTCCGTGATGCAACTTTCCTGACAAAACTGGAAAGCTGTATAATCATAAAGTTCCTTGGTGGGGACGTTGTGTGCTATAACACTGTGTTGTAGTCTGGTAGGTGGATACCAGGGTTCTTGTGAAACACAGTCTGATAGGTGGATACAAACGTTTTGGTGGAATGTGTGCCTCCATCTTTAGGATGACTCCAGATATCAGACATCTAGATTACGTATGTACAGACGTTTGAAGTCACAATATGAAATCTGGTCATCCACAAACAGCAGTTTCATTTGGCTGATGATACAGGATATGATACTGTGTAGGTTGGTAGAAGTTTAATGACATTTCAGATGTACACAATGCCTTCAGCTTCAATTTTCCATCCTGAAGATGGAGGAAGTACATTTGTCTGCAGTGTTCGTTAAAATAAATTACAGAGCATTACATTTCGGAAGACATCCTCAATAATACTGCTGAAAAGTGAGGATGTGATAGAATGCATGTAGCAGAAGTCTACCCTTATGAAGGTGGCGTTATGTTCCTCCAAAATGTTGGCAGAATCCTACCCACCTACACAGTGTCACTCCCAACTTCGTCATGATCACTGCCATGAATATCTCATATCTCACATGTAACACTGGTGTTTGAAGACGACTGTACTTCCATTTATGAACAAGAAATATTGGCACACTACAACACTACAGTAATTGTGCTGTACTGATTAACTGAACTGTGATCAGTTACATTACATAATTAAATTATTTCTCAGAGCATTGTTTGAACAAGTTTCATCACAGTAGTGAGTTTGTTAGGAAATCTGTATAAATTAATAAGAAATGGCAAGTCTACCATTGCAACCATTTAAAGCTATCGGCCTGACGCTTCAGTGGCCCTGTCTGGGCTCCAACTGCACATGGTCACCTCAAGTTTACAATGAAAGTTTTAGTGTATTCAAATATATTATGAAATTAAAACATTTTTATATCATTTTTCCTAAAGCTGATATACATTTAAATACTATACCAAGTGAAACTATTTTATTGTACCTTTCTCAACAGGATACTGACTAATAAAAAAAAATCTTTTGTTTCTTTTGATAGGTGTGTCATACCTTTTGTTTGAAAACCATTCACTGAAAAATTAATCACCTATGATAAGGATAGATAGTAATGACCATCAATAACCATAAGCAGACTGCTCTGAGTGAGAATGTTACAAACTAAAATCAACTCCACACATAATTCCAACCTTGCAAGTAACCACACTAACTGAACAACATATTCTTCATGCACCCAATGGAGTTGGTGTACATGTTTTAAATTATAATCCCTATTTCATGAAGAAATACACAAACGTAACAACTTTTGTAATAGTGTGACTTCAAGTTAATTTCTATTAACAAAGTCTAAAACATATTGAAACTAATTAGGTGGCTGGAATATATGTCACTGAGGATATCAACTTACAGTTATACATTACTGATATCAAGAAAAATGTAAGTTTGGGAACACCTGGAGTCTGTCTGCGTGCCTTCTTAAGTGAAGATTAGTAACACATCAGGATTACAATTCAGACTTCAGATAATGTTCAGCATTGACTTATATATTCATTTTGGGTTCAAATCATTATCACCACATCCAAGAAGATGCCGTGAGATCAGTTTTACACATTTTCATGACCTAATATTATTTATGGCTGAGTCTACGTGTCTTTCAAGTTTTTGTATAACTACAGAAGACTCTTGATCATCTTCATGTGGATTAAATACAGGACTTACTGGATTTGTAACCACCATCCAGTGGGATTGATAAAAGTTGTTTTTAATTTTTCATCCTTTACATGTTCCAGTCAAAACGATCATCTTCAGAAGGATACATAAGGAAACTACTGTTACCATGTCATACATATACATGTTATGTCTTTTAACTAATGCTAAGGTGTACATTGATTTGTTAAAACATCTAAAATTATTACAGAAGTGTACCATACAAACCAAATAGGTTCTAGATTAAAAATATTGAACATTATTTTGTAAACAGACTAATTGTAATAATTTTTAGATGCTTTAACAAATCAATGCACATCTCAGTATCAGTTAAAAATATATTATATTTATATCTATGACATGTAATAGTAGTTTCCATATGTGTTGATAATACCCTTCTGAAGATGGTCGTTTTGATTGGAACATGTAAAGGATGATTAATTATCAATCACAATGGACGGTGGTTAAAAATCTTACATACAATTACTAGTGTGATGGACCAGGATGAACAAAGTTACTTTTATAACCCATTACAAATGTTTCAGTGATATGTCAGAGGTGCTTTACAATGATTTGCAGTAGACTGTACATCTTCTGATTCTGTTGCTTGCATAATTTCACAGTTTTTCATACTGGCCTATCAATGAACAAGGGTTTCTTTCTTCCCTTGGAAGGTTTAGTTTCCATCCTCAGGTGAGGTAAAACACCTATTCTGTTGGGACCCTTAGAAAGAGCTAGCCTCAATCACTGGACAACCAATGTCACAAAACACAAAGGTTATAAATACCTGAGACCAGACTAAGTCAACGAGAGCGAATAAGAAAAATATACATAACAAATTGTTCCAAACACGTACAAGCGTGGGACCAGGATAGATAGATCCGTAGAAATTTATGTCACGAAACCGAACTAATAACCAGGTCCATGACCCCACGGCATGGAATAAAAAGGAGAACTAGCAAAAAACTAATATTGTCTAACTAGCGTCAACAAAGGAGTAAATCACGTCTATCTAATTTAGAACCTAATATAAATTAATAAAAACATATATCACGTCATACAGATCTTCTATGTGAATTGGTGACTTCATTGCTAATAATGGGGATCCAAATGGGAGAAAAGTCCAAACTGGGTTGGCTAATTGGGTTGGCCGAGTATGCCATATGGGCCGCTTCCTTGTATTTCCTATACCTGATGTGGCTTTCAATATCCAAAATCTTAGCTTCATCCCAGCCTACCCTATGTCCCTCTTCATAGGCATGTTGAGCTAGATTAGATTTTTCTAGAAGACCTTCTTTGAGGTTATGCCTATGTGTTTTGTGACATCGGTTGTCCAGTGATTGAGGCTAGCTCTTTCTAAGGGACCCAACAGAATAGGTGTTTTACCTCACCTGAGGACGGAAACAGATGCAGTTTCCGAAACGTCGTGCTTTTTTTTAGTTATCTTAAAAACCAGGACGATGGATGAAGTCTGAAAACCCAACATCTCTGTGAATAAAAACATAAGTCCACGCCAAAGTTCAGAGTTGGTGCTGGCATATTTCATGAAGAATTTTCAGTTTCGTTTTTGAGACGGTTGCTCTGAAAAAGAAAGAAATAAAGAAAATGTAGTCATGCTCATGTTAAAATTTAAGATCTCACAAAAACCTCATATGGTGGTTTTCGTTTTGAAAATGAGATTTCATATTCTGCATCAAAAACAGAAATTTTTAGTAAAGCTTCACAGTACCAAGGAGGAAAGTCTTATTAATCAATCCATCATTAAAATGACACTTTATAGCGTACAGTCTACAAATTACAACAAGACAAGTGACATGTTCAGAGGAAAACAAATATTTACTTTGCGACAGTATAATCACCATGTGACATTACTGACATTAGTATATTGCTTCCCATCTACTCAGCCTTTAAGTTCAAGCTATGAATTACTCTTATTTGCAATGTCAAGATTAGACAAATTTTGAACTTAGTTCACTGGTTTCATCTAGTAATCTGTGTTCTCGTGTCTAAGTCTGTCAGTTAATGAATACAATTTTTTTTTAATTAGAACTGGTTGTTCTTTTCAATGAATGCAGACAAAAAGCATATCATGTTTGTTTACCGCCACTAAGGACCACAAATGGAGACTGCATTTCTTTCTGCTTCTGCTGCAAGAGGCTAAGCGTTCTGAGTGGTGTCCGTTGAGCTCATCTGTTTCATCAACTGGAAACAAAAAAGAAAATTAATCTTCTTCAGGTGGGGCACAGTCTGTTTGCCCTTAAACATTCTGTAATATCTGCAGCTCCTGTCACTGATTATCCTAACAGCTGGCCAAATTTTAAGTTAGTCTGCTGCTTGAAGTCATCAATTTCTCCCAATTTCCAACCCATGGTCTGTGTCTGTGTCTACTAGCCTAATGACAACTGAACAAATATGCTGTGTGTTTTATGAGGAGGCTCCATCTGACTTGCCACACAGTTGCAGTATTCGCTTCTGTTCCCGGACTGAAGCTACCGTGTATGTTTGTAGTCAGCAGAAAATGAAGGCCCAGAAAGTGTGGATGGATATCTATCTGCTATGTGGAATCGTGGACATGTAACGATAACTACAATTTGCTTCCTTATGGAGCACCATTTAGAAATAGCATCAGATGGTTTCACAGTCTCATGTGTAGCACATCCTTGTATAGAACTTTCTAGAAGTTATTCAGTACATGTTTTGACCTATAAGGTCATCAGCAGGTGTTTTAAAATTATAAATTATAAACGAGGAAACTGCTGTGCTTCCATATTGTGGTTGTTGGTCATCACTATGCTGTCTCTTCTATGCACATGTACAGGGTATACACAAAAGAATGGTGCGGTTTCAAAAGTTAATACAAATTTTATTTCTCAACTTACACAGGCACAACATACACTGTCATATGCAGCAACTGTCCAAGTTTCTCACATGCTAATTAGAAACCTCCAATGTGTGCACCCTGGATCACATGACACACATCCACATGGTAATCAAACTCTGCTACAAATGGAGATAACAACGTTCTCCCTTGGCCACCCCGTTCGGCAGATCTTAGACTGTGCGACTTCTTTCTTTGGGCGTTTGTTAAAGACAGCGTTTTATGTACCACCATTGCCCACGTCCATCCATGAACTTCGTGATCGGATAATGCATGCACTGCTGGCCATTACAGCGGACATGCTATACTGTGTCTGGGATAAGTTTGATTACTGAGTGGATGTGTGTCATGTGACCAAAGGTGCACACATTGGACGTTTCTAATTAGCACATGAGAAACTTGGACAATTGCCGCATCTGACAGTGTATGTTGTGCCTGTGTAAGTTGAGAAATAA